CGCCCAGCTGTGTGACTGACAGCTGGCTCTGCCTATCTAGAGGCAGAGCCAGCTGTACCCGCCCCCTCCCCCGTCCGTTCCACCAGTCGGTGCCGGAGGATCGGAGAGGGGAGGGGGGAATCCAGCCCCTCCCCTGTCACTGCAGAGAGCCGTGACAGGATCGAGAAGTGAGCGAACGCCGGTATTTGTTCCCTCACCTCCCGATCTACTGAGCCGACCTGTGACAGTCTCATTGTCACAGGTCGGCTAGAACTATGAGGGGAGTGAAAAGCCCCTCCCCCCCCTCTCATAGTTCTCCTTTTAAGGTCTGCATGATTTGCATGTTTTCAATGTGACCCTTTCAGCTGCATAAAACGCCCCTCTTCCTGCTCGATGGTATTTTTTTTACATTTTTGGGGTTTATTTGCTTTGGTCCTCCATGGCAGTGCCCAGCTGCCCGTGCCGTTTTTCAGCAGTAGCTTGCTTGTTGGCCTCGAAAATGAGTAACACCAAAAAAAAAGAAGAAAAGTTTACTCCCATAGATCTCAATGGGGTTCTACGCTAAGGTTCGGGTTCATGGACTTCCCTTTCGGCCCCGTGCACACTTGCGCATCCCTACTCGTCTGCTCTGTTGACTGTGCAGAGCTGACCTTGAGACGGACTGAGTGATATCTTGTTGGGAGTCGATAAAGTTGTTTTTATTGGCGTCAGAGTGCAGCTTTGTGGATTTGCAGACTGAATTCTCTGTTGGCTGCTGGGGAGGTTTTCTTACTTCCTGTCCAGGGGACACCTTGATATCCTCTCACACATGGTGTCACAGCAGGAACCGAGCAATAAGAACCTGATAGAGGCTCTAATCCTCCTTCCCTCTTTGGTTGGGTGGAGGAGCCCTTTAATAGACCTCCTTGTTGGTTGGATGTGAAGAGGTTGCCGTCTAGTCATGACATTCTCCGTCTTCCGGGTTTCCTCCTCCTGTCTGCACACGTCTTCGTGAGCCCTGAGTCACCCTGGAAGACTCTCTGTGTCGGAACATTCCCATCCCGGGAACATAACACGGCTTGTTCCGGAGCGGAATCTGATCTCGTACAACACAGGATCCATCGTCTGCCCGCCCCCGGCGTGATGAAAGCCGATGATGTAACGGCTTCAGCATCTACTTTGGCTCAGGAGGTTAAAGTGGAACTCTGCACTGAAAATATAAATGTGCGAGCAGGCTGACATACTGTGTGTGTTCTGCAATAAAAGATTCTCACCGGCCTGTTCAATACAATGGCCCAGCTCGGTGTACAATCCCAACATCTGACGGGTGTCTGGATGAATGAACTCCCGGTCATGTGACCTTCCATCCCAGCACGGCTAATGAATTAACTCCCGGTCATGTGGCCTTCCGTCCCAGCATGGCTGATGATGAATGAACTCCCGGTCATGTGACCTTCTATCCCAGCACGGCTAATGAATGTACTCCCGGTCATGTGGCCTTCCGTCCCAGCATGGCTGATGATGAATGAACTCCCGGTCATGTGACCTTCTATCCCAGCACGGCTAATGAATGTACTCCCGGTCATGTGACCTTCCATCCCAGCACGGCTAATGAATGA